CCCTCCCGCGGTGGGACGGGCCAGCCGGCGGGGAGCTGCGGGGAGCCGGGCTTTTCCGTAGGTTTGTGCTGTCACCCGTCTGGGGCCAAAGTTTGGGAATAAAGGGAGGGTTTCCCCGCCTAATCCCGGCAAGGAAGGAGAGCCGCGAAGGGGAAGCGCGACCGCCTGCTCCGTGGAGTCCCGTTCCCTGCTTCCCGCGCCTCCGGCTCAGCTCCTTCTTGTGATGCTTTCGCGGGACCGGAGAGGGGCTTTCAGCAGGGCTGCCGGCCGCACTGCGGGGCTATAGCCATGAGAAAGGAGTCTCGACCGTCTCTCCGCAGACTAGCCTTGGTTGGAACCAGAGAAGTCTGGTTCTTCAGGTCCTGAAGGATGCGAATAACTTAGTGCTCTGCGGTGTGGTACCCACGTGGGCACTGCTATCACCTGGAGAAACAGCCCGAGGAACCAACCTGTCGTACCTCATGTTACTTTACACCAAGTTTGCAAGATTGTTCTGCAGCCTCCCTTCCTCCGAGGAGTGTCAAAATAGCATCTTCCGTTTCTGTTACAAGCTGGTACCAATTGCTCATATAAAAACGATGGTCTGAAAGAGGGAGGGCACTGTAGAACCAGTCACACAGTGATATTTAATGTAATGGTTGTAAGTAGGGGGTACCTAATCAAGGCTTGTTACGGTCGTGCATAGGTGACAAACCTGACCAGGTTCTCTGTTTTTGCAGGGTAGAGCGAGCCCTGCAGACATGCGCTAGAGGGACCACCCCACCATTTCACATCTCGCTGAGTGGACTATGGTGGCAGGAAGATGTTGGCTCGGAAGAGTATCATCCCTGAAGAGTATGTGTTGGCACGGATTGCTGCCGAGAACCTGCGCAAGCCGCGCATCCGAGACCGGCCACGCAAAGCCCGCTTCATCGCCAAGAATGGGGCATGCAACCTGGCACACAAGAACATCCGCGAGCAGGGGCGATTCCTGCAAGACATTTTCACCACCTTGGTGGACCTGAAGTGGCGTCACACGCTCGTCATCTTTACTATGTCCTTCCTGTGCAGCTGGCTGCTCTTCGCCATGATGTGGTGGCTGGTGGCTTTTGCCCACGGCGACATGGACCCAAGCACAGAAAGCACTACGAACAGCACGAAGTGGACACCGTGCGTGACATGTGTCAGGTAAAGTACGGTCGGTGGGATGAAGAAAGGGGGGGAACAGAGCTGCCTGCTGTCCTGCCGATGCCTAAAACGCAGCTTTTGGTTTACATGAACCATTGTGTTTGGTTGAGACAGTTGAAAAGTGCAGTGTTTTCCCCTAGATTACATAAATTCAGCAAGCCTTCTGGGCTTGGAAAATACTGTACTGTAGATTTCTTTGATTCCTTACAGGATCTGAAAGAGAGGGAGACCTGCTGCTTTTCATGTGTCTCCACACTCTGTGGGTAACATACCTTGCCTGTCGAGATAAGAGCCTGCTACAAGAGTGGGTATGTGTTATGTGTATTGTAACATTGTCTACGGCAGCGGGAGCATCCCCAGCATGGTGCGAGCCATTAGCCGCGCCACCAAAAGGTGGCCACCCCAAGAGCGGTGCCTGAGGGACAGAGTACCAGCCATGGGTGTCAGGCAAGACTAGCAAGAGGAGTGCTGCTTAGGGCAGTTCTAGATGTCTTTCAAGATGAGTCTCATGAGACAGATAAATATGGGGTGCTTCAACATACCTTGATGAAGCCATAGGCCAGCAGTTTGACAGAGGAATGGTTTCCACAGTGTACATGATGTGTCAGACAGTGAAAGCTTAAGGGACTACTAGGTTAAACGTCACCTGTTAGAGCATTTTACTCTCCATCCCCAAAGTCAAGACAATTTTCAAGGCACTGATAAGCTGACACATACATACACGGAATAGAAGAGTGTTTGTGTAATTGGAGGTGGGGTAAGCAACAAGATCACTTTGTCATCTCATCTGTAAAATCTCTTTTTACAGCACTAGGTTTTTAAGCAGAAAAATTCTGATTCGGTACCACCAGACTGCCCCAGATCAGCTGCCTTACACATTTCAGTGCTGTGAGGGACTGGGGCGGAGGAGAGCTGCAGGGTCTGCTGAGACATCAGTCTCACTTCCCTTTTCTCCGTTCTCCTGCACATAGTTTTGAGGCACCTCACCAAGTTTGAAGGGACATTGTATCTGGCTCATGAGGGAGTGGAGATTTCATTCTCCCTTTGTTTTGACACTTTTTTGCTAAATGGGGATTTTTGGAGCTAAAGGAAATGGGGATTTTTCCAAGCTAACCTTCATTAGGCTGGGAGGTTGGGGCCGGGGGCAGTTGGGGTACCATCTTACTTCTTTTCTAATAACTGGCCACAAGCAGTCGCTTCTGAAATGAGACGTCACGACCCGGCTTGCACCTGCTGGGGTGTCACCCCTGGCGTTTCTGGGATTTGTGGTATTTGTCCAACCCGAATTAGTGAGTAGCTATACCCCACCGGCTCTTCAGGGTCAGCTGAGGGGGACATCCCTCCGGCTGGTTGTGGCCCCCTTGGCTTGGCTCACCCGTGGGGCTCCTCATGGGGCTTCTGGGCCACCCCGCAGAGCCTGAGCCAGCTGCTGAGGGCTTTGTGCTGCTGGGACGAGGTGAACCCATGGCCGTGGCTTTGCCCCTCACTCCCTCCCCGTAGACCCAGCTGCAGCAGTCCCACACCGGTGGCTCTTCCAGGATGGCTGCTAACATCCGTTGCAAGGACAGCCTGGAGGGGTGTGAAAAAGCAGAGCAAATGACTTGGTGTAACGTTCTAGTTTAGCCCATGACAAACACCACACATCCCTCCCTCGTGCCAGTACCTGGGGGGGTTCAGCCAACAGCTGCTTCAGTGTGCGTGTCCAAGCCATGGGAAACCTTCTCCTTTCATAGTGAAATACTTCACCTTGTTAAATTGGCTACCACATTGGACAAAGTCGTGAAATAGCAATATGATTGCTGACGTTTTTAAGAATGGTGAGTTGTTGGATGTAAAATATATTTAATATTGCAATGATATGCATGCCAAAATAATGGCAAATATCTTTTAACCTCCCTTCCTGAGGTTTAGACCCACAGATATTTCAGGAGAGCTTTCCTGGGTAGGTGCCATTACAGATTTATGGGAAACCTAGTTCTGGAAATTTGAACCAGTGCCTAGAATTTGCACAGCACCTTAATTTTTCAAAGTACTGCAGAAATTTCTAAGTCTCAGAGCTCTTTGCCACAGAAAGTAGTCATTATCCAAAGCATAAAACTGTTACACAGCTCTAAGGGGAAGGACCTGGGAATAGTGTGAGTTGGAGTTTCTGGCTCCCTCTTCACATGGCCAAAATGCTGTACAAACTTCCTGCTTCAGTTACTTCTGCTGTAAAAAGGTGGATACTCTTTTCTTCTTTTTCTTTTCTTTTTTTTTTTTTAAAGAACAAGTACCGTTAAAGGAAATCAGAATATTTACTCCACAGTGCTTTAAGTTGAATTAAGCTGAATTAAGTTTAAACCAGAAGCTTCATTCTGCGTGTAACTAAATATTCCTGAACATAAGAAATCATACCATGGATTCTACTAATTAACTCCTTTGTCCCTGATTTCCTCAGAGTGAAATGCAAAAATAAACCCCTTAATACAAGGGAATCTGCCAAAGATTGAAAAAGTAGAAAAGACCAAAAAAAAAAAAAAAAAAGACAAAGTTCTTTCAAAGATGTCTCTTCAGAGACTGGCTGTTTTTCTGAAAGATGAACTTTCTTATTCTACAGAAAATGATCCCTGATATTGCCTATGCTATTTTAATGTCTCCTCATGACCCCAGGTTCGCTGAAAATATGGTTTGGAAAAAAAAAAAGAAAAATGTATTTAAAAGCAGATTATTCGAAAAGCAAAGCAAACCAAATGTGATCGTGGTGATGCTTCAAATGTTGGTGGATTGCACTGTGTTAAAAGGGTGGCTCTGATATTACTTGAGATGAGACCCACCATGCTGTAAGTCTACCAGATAAACCCCAAGGTACTCATTTTAAGCATAAGAGAAGGGTGTATCTGGTTACAAAAGGAAGTTAAAGACCCTGGTATATACAGGGGATGTGACGTGGACTACTGTACATAACGTATTTTGGAAAGTTTGTGGACACCATCCTCTGACATCCATCACTATAGCGTATTAGGGATGTTTAACTTAACCCACACTTCTACAACCCACTTCAGTGTTGGAATTTTCCAGCTAGTCTTGCCATGGTGATGAGCTAAACCCAAACCCTGGGTCACAGCGTTGTCCCCCTGCCAGAATGCGCAGAGGGGACCGTGGAGGCCACTGGCCTCTCTCTGCAGCCTGATCCTGGGGGCTTAGATGCAAGGTGAGCAAGGGTTTGGGAAGTGTCACGAATCTGGAAGCATCCCCTTTCCCTCTGGGAAATCCTGCTAAAGGGTGTCATGACTCACGTAGCATGAGTGAAATGCTGCGATTTTCCCCATTTCCTTTCCCTGCACAGGCTGGTGGAAGAACCTTGGTGTGCCAGCTAATTGCTCACTATGGCTAAAACCACTGCTGTCCACCAAGAGCTTCATGGGATGGTGAAGGTGGAAAGCCCAGGTGTTACAGCACTGTTGACTAACACAATGGGCAGCATGTGTTCCCGAACAGAGGAATTAATGAGCTTCTCAGGGTCATCTAGTGTTACAGATGGTCTTTTAGGAGCTCAGGCTCTGAGGTCTTCCCTATCACCATCAGATACTGCACTGACTATGCAAAACCAGAGTCATCGAGCATGCAGTGCTTTTGCTGGTGTTAACAGAAGGCTGAAGTGTACCAGGACTGTACAAATAGGTCCTTAAGTTTGTTTCTAGAAAGTACATGTTAATGTACTGAGAAAGCTTCTCAGTTTGTGTTCCATGTCCTTAGTGTTAACTTTGTATAATCTTCTTCTCCAGGTCATTCACCTCCGCTTTCCTCTTCTCCATTGAAGTTCAGGTGACCATTGGTTTTGGGGGCAGGATGATGACAGAGGAATGTCCCTTGGCCATCACGGTCTTGATCCTGCAGAACATTGTGGGTCTGATCATCAATGCTGTCATGCTGGGCTGCATATTCATGAAAACCGCACAAGCTCACAGGCGGGCTGAGACCTTGATTTTCAGTCGGCAGGCGGTCATTGCCGTTCGAAATGGCAAACTCTGCTTCATGTTTCGAGTGGGAGACCTGAGGAAGAGCATGATCATCAGTGCCTCGGTGAGAATCCAGGTTGTGAGGAAGACTACGACCCCTGAAGGGGAAGTCATACCCATTCACCAAGTAGATATCCCTGTGGATAACCCCATTGAAAGCAACAATATTTTCCTCGTGGCTCCCTTAATCATTTGTCACGTCATAGACAAGCAGAGTCCTCTTTATGACATCTCTGCTGCTGACCTGGTGCTCCAGGACCTGGAGCTCATCGTGATACTTGAAGGAGTCGTAGAAACGACGGGCATCACGACGCAGGCGAGAACCTCCTACATAGCAGAGGAGATCCTGTGGGGTCACCGCTTCGTGCCCATCGTCACCGAAGAGGAAGGCGTGTACGCAGTCGATTACTCCAAGTTTGGCAACACTGTCAAAGTGGCGGCGCCACGTTGCAGCGCTCGAGAGCTTGATGAGAAGCCCTCTATTCTCATCCAGACCCTGCAGAAGAGCGAGCTGTCCCACCAAAACTCCCTGCGGAAACGCAACTCCATGAGGAGAAACAACTCCATTCGGAGGAGCAACTCCATGCGGCGAACCAATCCCTCCCTCATCGTGCCCAAAGTGCAGTTTATCACGCCCGAGGGGAGCCAGAGTGCCACAGAAACGTGATACATGGCTTTGTGCAAGGTCAGTGGGCTTCTGAAGGAGGAGGCACCCCTGGTGTTTTGTTTAAATTTTCTTTTACTTAAGAAAATGAGAACATGATGCAGAAAAGAACCGTGCAAGAACTATTTATTCTATTACTTACTGAAAGCACCACCTAATGGCATTAGGAAACACTTTAGCACTTAGTGTATGAATTAATAAAAAATGGCACGTACACTAAAGAAAACACAGTTCACTCATGTAATATAATGTGTATTTATGCTTGTTTTAATGGCATGCTAGGTTTTTTAATCGCATTTTTCCTGTCACGGGTCTCTTTCTTATCTTCTTCTGCTGACTGTCACAAGATGTGGTCTTTGCCCATGTAAGTGGGTTACCCACATGCAGGCAGAAGTGAGTGCTTTTTTAAAACTTCTGCACACAGCAGCTTCCACAGATTTTTGTGCAGGATATTTGGATATTGATCTTTTTGGAGTTAATTCCTCATTCTCTTGAGAGGAGTAGCTAAATTCCTCAATGATTTCACTGGAGAAGAGCCAGTATTTTACCTTCAGTTTTCTAGACCTTTTCTTTCTGTAGGTTTATGGCAAAGGCCTTTTGAGAGTAAATTCATGTCAGCTGAAGTGACCTGACCATCCAAAACCAGCGAAATGGCACGGGCTCTTGCAGAGCACTGCTTTTCTTCTCAGGGTGAGATACTTCATTGCAGGACAGCATGCGTCTGTAATGTGACTGTAGCCCAAGCTGAGAAACTCAAGTCCTCCCGGCTGCCACCTAAGCATCCATTTCACTGCAATTATTCAAGTTGACAAAAGCACGCACCTCTTTAACAGCCTCTTCATGTCGGTGGAAGACCAAATCCAGTTTTATTTTCTCTTATAGATTCATACACTGAAGGCAACAAGTGTACTTCCTCCATTTACAGTCTTTTTTGTAGGATTAAGTCTGTTCGCTTCAGCAGAAGGTTGCTTTTTGCCAGTGGGAATTCATGAATGGAAATGAGAGGGAACCATGCTAATAATCTTGAAGATAGTGTTTTCAAAGCTCTCTGGATAATTTTCGGGGGGACTTGGGTGCTGCTGGTGAATTACTGTTTTTCAGCAGTGTTTCACCTGTGTTTTTATATAATATGGCATTCAGAATTTTTGGTAAGCATCTTTTCTCTTCAAATTAAAATGGGCATTTTTTTATCTGGAGCCTTCTTAAAAATGTCATCACAAGTTTTTCTACAAGAATAAATAAATGTATGACGACTAATTGTATTACATTTGGTAATGCTCAATTGCTGTATGCTTTTTTCCTCTGTGAATAAGAAGTATAATTTTGGACAAATTCCTGTTCAAATTTCTTACAAAAGTTGTCTTATTGTGTCTGTGAGTCAAGAGAAGTACTATCCTTGTACTGACTCTCAGAGCCACTCAACCACTTAAATACTTTTGTAATTTTAAATATTGGCTTATTCCTATCAGGTAAAATAGTCAAAAGCAATGCTGAATTCTCATTGTCTTTGGAAGTCAGTTCATCAGCAGTGGTATGTGCGGTGTCGGGTGGTGGCACAGAGGGGCATTGCTCTGTAGTGTAGGCTCCCTACACTTGGAGCAGGTGCTCTCCAGAACATAAACGCTGACGAAATACTTTATCTGAAGCAGTAGCGGAAACTGAAGTTTCTGCTAAAAGCATGCGTTCCCTGGCCTGCCCATTAATGTTCTGGGAGGATGGATGGTGAACATCTGGAGATATTAATCTGTCCATTGTGTGTCCAAACAAGGAACATCTGTAGCTTCCCAGAAGAGTCAGAGCGAAGCATATACAGTTTGTCTCTGGCCTCCATTTCCAGGGCTGTGAATTTCTTTTGAGTCTGTCTGTTTGATATATGATTGTCAGATGCTGTACAAAAGCAAGTTTTCTACAAAATAAAAAAGTGACAATAATGATTTATTCCGTCTCTGATTTTTACCTATTTCTTTCCCTTTTTTCCTTTGTATTCTCCATTCATTCTTCTGTACTATTAGTCCTTCTTGTATCCCAGCCTTTTCCACAGTCCTTTTGAGTAATAATTTTATATTATCTCAATACTCTCTCAGTATTTCAGCTGAGATTTTTTTTTACCCACAACCATTTTCTCCTTAAGTATATTCTTCCTTCCAATTTTCATTTTGCCTTCATCTCTCTCTCTGCTTTACACCTAATGTACTCTCTTTCCCATAAGACTATTATAGGGATACTGGTATTTTGAGGTAACACTAAGACTAAGATACCTCATAATCAATGATGCTGAACAGATACACAAGGCAGATTCTTGTGTCATGAATGTCACGTTCATACGTGCTGTGCTCCTGCTCCTTGCAGAAAATCCCTTAGCTCACAGCCCTTTTCTTCATCAAGTTTTGCAGTCCTGGAAGGGGCTGGCAGCCGTTGGGGTAAGCCGCCCAGATGGCTGTGAAGAGCGACAGGGCGGTTTTGGGGCTGGGAGCTGCATTCCTCACTGGACAGGTTTCAGACCCAGCTTTGCAGCATTGTGCTTGCCAAGAGGGGACGAGCTGGCAGCACCATGGTTCAATATGTTCAATTATTTCTTCTTCCTGGCAGCTTTATCAGATGAAAGGGGCTTTACTTTAAATTTGAAGTTTTCTCTGTTTAAAGTACGCTGCCAAGTTAAGAATGACAGTTGAGAGTTCTACCAAATACTGCTGACAGTTCATGCTGGCATTTAATCGTCCATCTCTTTCATTGATCATAATTTAGAAAATTAGAAACAATAATGTATAAGCATCATCTGACTGCCGTCCCTTCACACTTACTTGTGTCCCTACCATTTCTATTCCTCTGTAACATAGTGTAACTGGAACTGTGTTGTTCGACACCGCTTATTCCATGGATTTAATATGCTTTGGCTCTTAGAACAACCCACCAGGCAGATGTCGCTGGGGAGCAAAACTATTTCCTAAGAGTAGAAAAGTGATTATAAAGTCCTTCCAGACAGACATAATGTCTGGAGCTGCACTTTATATTTTCTTTCTAGCCTTGACTTAAAGAACTCTATTGTAAACAGAAAAATGGCAGTGAGACTCTTTGTCCTCTCTCTGGACATCCAGAAGATTCAGAGTTACCGTGGTGGGGACATAGAGAGCAAACAAACACAGGCAGTGCTTACAGGAGATATAAAGCTTAATGCTCCAGGGTCAAAGCCAACTTCTGAGTAACAGGATTTGGAGGAAACATTCCCTCTTGGCAGGTTATTCTGTAGCTATCACCTTCAAGATTTCTTTTGCTCTCTTTTGAAATATCTGGTGCGAGCCAGGGACAGAGGCAGGACCCTGGCACGCGTGCACCTGGAGCAGGGCAGGTAGATCAGGTCTCTGCAGGAGGGCTGGCAGACAGCAACCACGAGGGCTCTTCCTTTTCTCCCACCCAGAGTGATACCATCAAACCCCGCAGTGAAACCAGCCACTGGGGACCCCCGCCCAGCCGCAGCCAAGCCTTGCCAGTATATGCAACGTGAGGTCATTGAGTGCTGCCCAGATCCCAAAAAAGTCTGGCTCCAGTGAGGAGCCCTCAGTGCCCATGGCCTGGAGGACAGTGATGCTGAACCAGACATCCTCCTTGTGGGGTTTGGGGCTGCCTGCTGGAGGGGGTAACCTGGCTCAGCGGGGCTGCCGGGGTGGTCTGTGCTGCAGGGAAGGCGGCAGGGTTGCCCTTCAAGCCTAGGCTGGGCCAGGGCTGCTGAAGGTACAAGCAGGATAGGCACCTAAGCATTAAAAGCTAATGGAAGTGGCATCATGACTCAAGGAGCAACAACTGAGTGTATTTTGGGTGCCCTGGGGCACCCTGTCTAGCCCCCACAGCTGCTTGGATGGCCACTGGTCTCCCGTTAGGGCCATGACACTCCTGCCCGCTCAAAGCACCCCTCTTGGGCACCCTCCAGTGCACCCAGCTGCATCCTGCTCTGCCTACCAACCCCCCTAAAGCCTGCTGCAAGCCGTGCTTTGAACCTCTCCATAACACTTGGCACCACTGTGGCCTTGTGAAATGATCTTCCTCCTGCATATTGCTTCATGGGCATGTGTTGCACCACAGCAGTTTGCCCTTGTGGATACAACTGCTTGGCTCCATCCACAGAAGGGTTAACCGAAGCTCTCTGGGATACTCAGGTCATCGTACAGCACGAGAGCCTGGCTCCATCCACAGAAGGGTTAACCGAAGCTTTCTGGGATACTCAGGTCATCGTACAGCATGAGAGCTAGAAGCGTATTCAGATTTGGATAATACCTCATGTACGCAATAGGCCTTTACCCTAACGCCATGTCTTACTCTAGTCCATCAGGTCATATCAGAGGCACAGGACTCGACTTACCTCACAGACATCTCGAATGTATTTCACAAAAGCACACGCCTTTATCTATATTGCATAAAGTTCAGGGAAGGGATCGTGCTCTCACTTTTCCATCGGGAAAGCGGTATGGACACACCATTGTTGCTGACTGAAAAAACGTGGCTAATTCTGCCTATTTTTTCTTCCTTCACAAACTAAAATTGAGGACATTTTGTGAAACCAGTTTCCAAGTTCTCCAGTGATTATTATTAGCAAATGCTTGTTGCTGCAAGCAGAAAAAGTAGTTAGTCCAAGACCAGAAAGGAACTTTGACTGGAGAAAAACATTAGTTATTATATGATGAAAGGAACAAAGCTTTTATTTTTTTAACAAATTATATTCTCTGTGGAGCCTGATATTTTCAAAACACTAGTGGGGGTTTGGAAGGCACCATCAAGTAATAAATCATGTCCACTAGACTCTGATTTTGTGCTGTGCTACTAATAGCAAAAGGGGTTTGTAGCCCCAGCACAGCATAGAATCATAGAATCATAGAATGCATTGGGTTGGAAGGGACCGCCAAAGGTCATCTACTCCAGCCCCCCTGCAGTGAGCAGGGACATCTTTAGCTGGATCAGGTTGCCCTGAGCCACATCAAGCCTGACCTTGAATGTCTCCAGGGATGGGGCCTCCATCACCTCTCTGGGCAAACTGTTCCAGTGCTTTACAAGCGTTCGTCAGCCTGGTCTCAGGATGCTTGCAGTCACTGAACGTGATTTTGGGGATTCAAGGTGAGATGGGTGCTGACTGACTTCAGGAGCTGTGGTCACCAGACTCTACTGGGGAGTGATGCTGGGGCTGGTGGATGCGGGGTTGGGGCTGCAGGCAGCAAGGACCCTGGCATCAGTGCTCTGGGTTGGTGACTTGTCCCCAGGAGCAGACTGGGAAGCAATGTGCCTCTCCAGGTGCTTTGGACAGTGTCCTTCACAGGAAGGTATTGTTCTTCCTGTCAAGTTGATAGGGGACACTTTTGCTATGCGTGACGGTGAAATACAAAATGAAGGAATAAATTCCTGCTTCTCTAAACCTGATTTCCCAGTCTGGATTGCTTGCATAGCCAGGTGAGAGTTAACTTTTTCTCCCCCAGATATTTCTGTTAAAATATATTTTCCATATATATATGTTTACATCATATCCAGACAAATCTAAGCTGATAGGCAAGAGTTTCTAATACCCGTCGCATATTAAAAATGCTTCTTGGCCCTATCTCTCTGAGTTATGTTTCCTAATTCCCCTTAAGAATTCTTTGAACTTATATTAAAAAAA